TCTATGTACTGGTCAGACTGAGGAAGCCTGGGGCTAAGAACTGGGACTGGGAAGTGCAGGTTTTGGTAAGTACGTGGTGTAAGCATCATATAGTAGTTTGACGTTAGTTACTAGAAGCAATGTATATATACAGCCCAGCATATATAGAGGTACATAATCCTACATAGCCCTACTTAGCCATACTTAGCCATACATAGCCATACATAGCCACACATAGCCATACATAGACATACATAGCCCTACATAGCCATACATGGACATACATGGTAGATAGTGATCGACTGGTTAATCTAGAAGGTTATAATATTGTTCGCTGGGATAGAAACAAACACGGTGGTGGAGTTTGTCGTTACCTGCGAAATACAATAACATTTTCTAGGCAACATCAACTTGAAAATGATGATCTTGAATTAATTGCATTAGAAATTCATGTCCATTTCTTATTGCTACCTGGTACCGGCCACCAAACACACCTTTGGATTCTTTTTAAAAATTCGAAATGTTTTTGAAGGAGGCAGATGCCAGGTATTCAGAAATTTACATACTCGGAAATTTAAACTCTAATATTCTTTCTAATCCCCCAGAGGTTCACACTACCCAGTTATTGGACCTGATGGTTGATTATCAATTGGCACAATTAATAAAAGAACCTACAAGAGTTAATGCCAAATCGCAAACTCTTATTGATGTATTTATTACGAACAAGGAAGATAACATATCTCATTCGGGAATATACACACTTTCCATTAGCGACCACTATTTAATTTATGCTGTTAGAAAAATTGGTTTACCCAGGGGACAACCAAAGTTTATTCAATCGAGGAATTTTAAACATTTCAATGAAGAAAATTTCTTACCAGATCTGAAAAGTGCCTCATGGCGGTATGGAAATGAATAGCGCGTGGAATGCATGGAAAATATGTTTTTGAATATAGTTGATAAGCATGTTCCGAGAAGAGTCATGCGAGGCAGAAATAAACCCGCTCCTTGGTTAAATTCTCAGTTAAAAGAGAAAATGTATGAACGTGACTGGCTAAAGAAAAAACCTTCAGAAACGCAGCGGCCAGATGTTTGGAAGGCAACCAAGGAGCGGGTTTATTTCTGACTCGCATGACTCTTCTCGGAGCATGCTTATCAACTACATTCAAAAATATATTTTTCCATGCATTCCACGCACTTTATATTAACTAACGTCAAACCATTATATGATGCTTACACCAGGTACCTACACGGGAGTTTAACAAGACCGCTGACCTACAGCACAAGTTTACTGTGAGGAGAGGGGGCTGGAACAGACTAACAGTGAGCAGCGGCAAACAACGCGGCAAAATTCTGCTGTTGTCAAGTTGTGTTGTTCATGTTCACGAGCCTAGTGGCGAGTTTGTTTGTAGCTTTGGTGGAGGAGTGTTGCAGAGGGCATCAGATATCACTTCTACGTATGATGGTCGCGTCATGATAGTGGACCCAAAAGATTACAGTTTTTACTTATTTGATATCGAGGGACACCAGCTTGGCAAATTTAATATCAAAAATGAGAGAGATGACGTTAATCTCATTGAGTGTCACCCGGTAAGTGACCATGTCGTCCTTGCTGGTGAGGAACGAGAGACTGACCGCCTGATACTGGCAATATACACTGTTAATGGCGAATTTGTTCGCAGAATTCAGCTGGATGAAGAATTATTTACCTTGTACGGAATAGCAGTGACCGTGGAGGGTCACATTGCTGTGGCTTTTAAAGACAAGCATTACAAACAAAAGGTAATCGTTGTTTAAAACTAAAAAATTCGAAGACACAAGTCAACAGTTCTTACTTTACTTTCATGAATAAATATCATCAAGGCAGATGTTTGAATTTAATGATGCAGTTGGTTGGCATTACTGGACATGACTGGATTAAGCCACATACACTGTAAACAACTTCATCCCCTCTTAAGTTTACTGATGTTTGAAATAAGTTTTGTGTTATGGCTCTAGCCACTAAAAGAAACCAAAACAAATAAAATGAATGAGATACATGCACAGTGACCACTCGCTAATATTAACCTACATTTTTTGAGGTCTTGCAAAAAAAGGTTCATTTATTTTGGGGTAGTTATTAGCAATTTTGAGGCTAACTACATGTACAACTGTAGGTGCTTCATTAGGTTTTACTTTCTATGAAGGAGATGTACAGGGCTGTCCCAAAAGTTCGTTCCTTTGATTTCATGCACAACAACTTTTGATCAAAACTTTATTTTTACATGAAATTTCTAAAAGGTGTTTATTGCTCTATCGAGTACATGATTGTATTCAGAAGTTCAGTAAGCTTGCAGGTCTCCTTTTTTTTCTTATCACATTCTGTAGCCGTTGCGGCATAGGGTGGGATAAGTCATCATAGCGTCTAGAGCCCCAGATGAGCCACTTTTAGCTTTTTTACCACCTGGTTGTTTCTTTGACAATTAGTGGTATATTAATATTTTTATTTGCACAGGATGGAAAATAATACAATCCAGATTCAGTTGGTTTACAAAAACATCCTCATCATTTATCAGCTTTTCTATAACTCTTTTCGTTAAAGATTCGGGTTTTTATGCCTAAATTGCTCTAACCCAATTGCATGCCACATCAAAAAAAACTCCTTTCGGTTCAAATCTTCTCCAGCAAAAATAATTTATGATGCTCTCTTCTTGATTTAAGCAGGCAATAATGTGATAACCCGGATATAAATAACCAATACAACCTGCCGTCTTTTTGGTCAGGTGTGCAGGCTCATTCCCAGAAACATTGGCTGGTAATCAAGCCTATTAGTAAGATAATTAAGATTTTATTCCAACAAATTTCACTCAATAAAGCATAGATAGTTTCTGGGCAGTGGTTTTCCCCAAATTTTCAGGCAAAGCCAGCCTCTCTTTAATCCTAAGGACACTAAGGAAATGATCCAGATTTGAAACTGCCACATGACATACAGTCTATTATAACGAAAGAGGGCTCTCTTCAGTTGACAAGCATCCCTCAAAACTGCCTTTGCTTAACTGTTCTGTAATCAATCCTGCTCGTTAAAAATTCTTTTTGTGCAGGTTAAAGTGTCTATTGGGCTAGCACATGCTAGGTACAGCTTGTATAAATGGCAAGCTGTAAAACTGACTTTCTTAATAAACCCTGACAGATTCATGATTTGCATGTGAAAATAATAGAAATGTAACTCAATATGTAATGGCAATTTTGTCATGTCTTTAAACTGTTTTAATAATGAACTTTGGCATGTAAATCATAGGCAAAAAAACATACTGTTGGCCTTAATAAATTAAAAATTATATTAAGTTTTGCTCATGAAAACTTTGACTGCTTTTGCAGAGCCTATTGCCTGCTATATTATTAATAAAGAATGCATGATTAAATATTATTGTAAGTTTGTATTTGGTAACTTAACAATTTCTCTTTAAACTGTTTTAGGTTTGGCTAATAGTTTTCTGTAGGCTAAATCAGAGGTATACATACATCGTTTTTTAATTTGGTTGACCTGAATTAAAATATTAAGGTTGACCCCTGCTTTTAATGTTAGTATACAGCTGTAGGGGAAACTCTGCAGCTGAATCACCTGATGGAGATCTCTAAGTGTTCATTATGGGGAGGTAGGTTTATAAAGCCTGGTTTACATATGATCGTCCTCATCGCGCCAGTCGTTTTAAAAAATTTTGAGATGATCCAGACAACTGGGACGATAGGTGGTTTCCATGTGATTGTCCGGGTGATTGCCTCAACGACTAGATCAGAGACACGGGGTCATAAGTGATGTTTCTGGGTCAGACGATAGAATTTTTGCGTGGGTTTCGCGAACAAGCCAAATATACATGTAATGATGGATTTTAAATGGACAGCAAATCTCGAGCCTTGCTATCTGCATTATTTTCTCTCTATTTTGCAGCATCAACAAGCTAGAAGTCAGTTTCACAAAGACATGGTATCATTGTCTAGATCTTGATGAGACACACTTTCTGTTCAGTTTCAAATAGCTCCCTTAAGCGATGTGAACATTTTAAAATTATTTTCGACTTCAGTGGCATCCAGGGCAAATATATTCTTAATTAATATGGAATGATAGTGATGATTTCTGGGATAGCCGTCGATCATCCTGATAGTCTCAGTCATCTAAGAGCATTTCCAGATCACTTCAAAATTTACACGATCCTCCCAATCGTCCGGGAAGAACTCAACTCTATTCAAGTGATCAATAGGCTGGTCATCTCAGTCATCAGGGTCATTTGCGATCGTCTGGGTAACATTTTCATACATGATTGTCTCGATCGTCTGAACTTTATTTGAGGCAACTGGGACAATCACAGCACAGCCAAAATGTGTCAGTGACAGTGTTGTCGTGGAAAAGGTATAATATTATATACATAAATATAGTTATATATATGCTTATAAAAGAAATGTGATTTTTCTTGGCCAGGGGAAAATCAGGAAAGTTTGCAAGTGGTCAGGAAAAGGCATACTTGTTGTGAAGGTCTGAAAAGACAGCCGCAAAGTTTATTTTCTGGTAAAAAGTTTTCAGAAAACACAGTAAAAATCATTTAAAAAAAGTCAAAAACAAAGAGTAGAGTAACATTGTTTATTTTTTTTAAGGAATTTTTTTATAAGTTTCTGTTGCTGATTGAGTTAATAAACTCTATTTAACATAATTACTGGTATGAACAACAAGCAAACAAAACCTCAGGAAAAAAATTGTTTAAGGGACTGGTCATTATTTATCGGGACGGGGGGCTGGTGCAATGTAAAATATGCCACGCTTGATTTTTGCTGACCCCCCCTTTACTTTAACATGATTTTTGCTGACCCCCCCTCCCCCCGCCATCCCCCCTTGTCCTCCGGCATGCATG